TCCCTCTCCCCGTCCCTCTCCCCGTCCCTCTCCCCGTCCCTCTCCCCCCCTCCCTCTCCCCGTCCCCCTCCCTCTGTGTCTGACGTTGCGGGGTCAGGCTCGGCGACCCAGGGAGACAAAGAGAGGGAGGACGAGAGATTGCAGCAACAGGTGATGGCCGAGCTACGTCGGACAACATACCGTTGGAAGCCGGTCAGGTGGGCAGTCGGGCCGTCTGGCGGTGGGGGTGGGGGTGGGGGAACGGAGAGGGCAGTGGGACTATCGCCAGACTGAATCACTAGTAATGTGGGAACGGTGGCTGCGTTTACTCATCGTTACTGTGGCCGTAACATCGCCGTGCTCGGTCATTACTGATGAGGGGACACATTTCTAGGGAGAGAGACTTTAAAACAGGGCGTGAGGGGCAATTTTTTTTTAACACAGAGGGTGGTTCGTGTGTGGAATGAGCTTCCAGAGGAAGTGGTGGATGTGGGGACAGTTACAGCGTCGAAAAGACATTCGGATAAATACATGGATAGGGAAAGGTTCGGAGGGATATGGGCCCAGGAGCAGGCGGGTGGGACTGGTTTAGTTTGGGATTAGGGGTCGGCACGGACATGGTTGGGCCGAAGGGTCTGCTCCCGTGCCGTGTGACTTTATGATTGTCTCCTGCTGCCTCCCTGACTCTGTTGTCGTTGTTCCTGGGTTTTGCAACAGCTACGACAAGCACCTGAGTCAGGTCTATATCGCAGCCCGACTGGATGGAGGGTACGCTGCAATCACCAGGGTCCTACACGAGGTAAGTCAGTGCTGTATCTAACCCCGTGCTGTCCCTGTCCCTGGGAGTGTTTGATGGGGGGGACAGTGTAGAGGGAGCTTTACTCTGTATCTAACCCCGTGCTGTCCCTGTCCTGCCGTGGAGATTGTAATGTTTTCGGGCTTCTCCTCCTCTCAGATTAAGAAACGTGTCCCCGAGTTCCATCCCCGTACGCTGTTGGATTTTGGATCCGGCACTGGGACCGTCACTTGGTAAGTGTCGTCTCTCTCCCTCTCTGTTTGCCTCGGCTCCCCTTCGCTGCTGTTGCCGCTGGCCCTGCCGTGAAGCCAGCACCGTCCCGGGTTGTAGGCCATTTGGCCCCTCCGGCCTGCCGTGCTGTCCCAGCCCGCGGCTGGCCATCTCTCTCCGCAGCACGGGCCAGCGCCCCCTTGTCCCGCTGGGGATGAAGCCCTGCTCTTTCTGGAGTCCTGGGAAAGATTTTTTTTTATAAGTATGCTGACTTTTGCCCCGTTTTCCGCACCTAGGCTGATGAAGCGAAGAGCAGGTTTCCGACCTTCACTTCTCCCAGTGAGCAGTATTCCCTGTTAACGACAGCTTATAAGGTCGGGGTGGAGGTTAGATAGACCTTAGGTTTACGGTAGAAGTTCAGCACAACGTCGTGGGCTGAAGGGCCTGTACTGTGCTGTACTGTTCTATGTTCTATTACCCTATAGCTCTACCAAGCTAAGACTCTAAGCACCCCCATCCCTGATAAAATCCTATTGCGCGCACACGCAAACAGGGCACAGTAAGTTAATGGACAGAGGAAAACCACCAGCCAGTTCGTTGTTGGGTTATTGGGATGATCCTCGTGTTTTATCTGCTCAAGATGTCACTTTTCTGCTGCCCTTGACCTTCTAGATGGTAGAGGGGCAGTGGGGGTTTTGGAGGGTGCTGCCCGAGGAGCCTCGGTGAGTCTCTGCAGGGCGTCTTGTAGATGGTACACACTGCTGCGGCTGTGCCTGAGCGGTGGGGGGG